CTCGGTGAATGACAACCAGAGAGTTTGCCTTTGAAAACAGAAACAACAACAAATCCCCCAAAACAAAATGAAACTCAAAAAACAATTAAAAATATCCAGATCTGGGGCAACCCACTTTCCAGTCCCCCCTCTGTCTCTCTTAGACAGAAGCTTTCTTTCCCTCAATAAATTTTTCCTACTCTAAATTAATAAATAACTAAAATAAAAATGACCAGATCTGGCCTTTCTGTGAGGGAAAAGATGGAGCTGTCTTGTCAGAGAATGAGTATTTCAACTGACAAGTGGGCTTTGTCCACTTCGTTTCCCAAATATTTGTTCTAAGAGGCCACATGTGGTCTCCTTGCTTTGGCTGATTCCAAGCTGTATTTTCATCCCCATAGGTGGAAGACCCAGAAACCAAGGGTGGAAGGAGTGGCTCTGCATTCACAGACGGTGACTTATCACAGAGTTGTGTAATGTGATAGTTTCAAATGCTTCATGCTTCATTGATTTGTTCTTTCCTTGCCTTTCTGAATTTATGTATAAATGTTTTGGAAGATTGCTGATGTCATGTTGATGAATCTCATCAAGTGTTCTTTTGGAGAAAAAATAGCTAGTCTACTTTTGCCTTGTTGTTGCTCATCTTTTTGTTGGCACTGTGTGGAATAAGTGGGCAACATTTCTCTTCAACTTCCCATATGCAAACATGACCCCCACCCCAACACTGATTTAGAATTATCTGTTCTCTGGCCGACTTTTGAAAGAGCCTCTTACTTGAGGGTTGACTTAATTTTTCAAAATCTCACCTATTAACTTTCTTTAAGTACAGTACATTCTTTTTAGAAAATGCAATGCTGGAAGTAATAAGCACTCAAAACCATTGGCTGGTTGTAGCCCCTTCTCTGGGGGAAACCTTCCCTAAGCCATGAGAAGTAGGACACCCTAGTCCCAAAGGAGAGGAGGCATTACAGTAATTTGGAGAAGATTGTAAACAGTCTTGAGAGATCACTTAGTCAACAGACAGAAGCCAGTTCTAGTCCTATCTCTTCTGTTTGCCCGTACTGCAACTTTAAACAAGTTGCTTAAATTTCCTAAGCCTCTAGGTCTTCCTTTGTAAGATGAGGACAATATTAGTACTTAGCTTGTGGAGATATTATGAGAATCAAATGATCACAGCATGTAAAGTATTTTTTTCACAGGGCTTGACATGTAGCACACACTCAGTAATTGAGCTTGTGCTGTTACTCCCATTATTATTAGAGAAATATAAAGGTCTTCTGGCGGGAAGGATTATTGGCTTAGGAGCCAGAAACTGGGGAACCTGTATTTAGATCACTGGTCAGAAGGTAGCGTCCCCATCACTGATTTCTTGTATGATTTCTTTTTTTTTCCAGTGCTATTTAAATGCCAGGAGAGTCACACACATCCTCCTTTCCCACTAAGTTCAAAAAATAAAAACTGAAAGTCAAAGTTTGATGAAGAGTGTTTCCATTTAACTTATGGAGTAGGCTGACCTTATGGGCTTTTCTAAAAATGCTTGAGGCTGGGTTGGAGAAAAGCTAATAGGAGCATTTTCTGAGGAAAAATGTTCAGTAAATTTAGCTAGAAGAGATTGGATCATCTTTCTCTTTCACAAAGCTTTTTGTGAGGAGGTACAGATGAGCCTCAAAACAATGAGATCCATCACCTTGGCAGGGTAGTTTTCTAAGAGCCCTGGAGAACTAAAAGTAGCCTCAAATGGCAATCTGTACTTATTTGGGACAATTTCACAGAAAAAGAGAAGTAAAGTCACTTTTTATAGAGTTTCAGTTTCTTATTGGTCTATTTTGAACTCTCAACTTTTAAGAAAATGTTAATGAAACATTTCAACCCTCAGGTGATGATTTCTCTCCATGGCTTATCAAAATACTCCTCATTTTATCACTCTTTATAGCTAAGTAGATGCACGTTGAGGACATACTCTTAAGTGAAATTGATAGGACACATACGTAAATACTGAATAGTTCCTCTGGTGTGAGAAACTAAAAGTGTAAATAAGAACCAAAATGTATAATTGATACTGTGTAATAGGAAAAAAGTCTAAAGGAGTAGGGGAAGTGGGAAGGGCAGGGGAAAGGCAAGAAGGAAAAAGAAAAAATAAGAGAAAAGGAAAATAATGGAAACAAAGTCTTTGTAAATAGGGAAGGGAGGCCAGGGGAATGGGGAAAAATAAGAACCAAGGTACTTCATGTCAACATACAAGATCCCAATGATGAATGTAACTGTACTGTATACCTAAAATGCACCAATAGAGAAAAAATATATTTACTCCTTATTTCATCCAACAAGTATACACAGAGTATAAATACTTCCAACTGCATTTGTCTACTTAGTATTATGCATGTGTATTTTTCATGAATCGACACAGCTTATAATTACAACTACAACTTGTCAGTTGTAGAGTCTTCAATTGGGGGTTTTCTTCCTCTTTCTGTCATAGAATTACAGAATTATACCGCAGGAGAGATTTTAGGCAGTATATAATTTCTAACAAGAACCAACTTTTACTGAGTTCTCGCTGTGTGTCAGGCACAGTGCTAAATGCCTTATGTAATACACATATAGTTTCATGTAATATGTATTAATATGATCATCCCAATAATTCTATGAGGCAATCATATTAATTTCTCTATTTTACAGATGAGAAGACTAAGGCTAAAAGAGATAAATTACTTGATTAATGTCCTTAGCTTATAAACCTAAACCTCAAAGGAGACCTAAACTTACGCTTACTCACTGCACTGTGAGCCACATGGTCCTTATTTTTAGGTGAAGATTAGGACTCCCAGATGAATGATGGGAGTTTGTCCAGAACCATCCAGCCAGTGAATGATTACCAGGTCTGGAACCCCGTTCTCTGGATTCTCAGGCTACTATTCTTTCCCCTGTTCTCAGTCTACTTCCTGAGAAGGAGAGCTCTCTTATCTTTTTGGAACTTTCATCTCCCCACCCTTACAGGAAATACTTTTATTTAAGTGAAAATTAAGTTTCAGTATAAACTACTTTTAAAAATGACAAGTTCCTGTTTTTCATTCCTATTCTTCTAGTCATATCCTCTTGGGACAATTTAAGTTTTCCAAGGATTTAGGTTCAGAAAGTTCACTTTGAATCCATGAGAACTATTCTGGATCTTCAAATAAGGGCTCTGAGCACCAGGTTCCCCTGTGTATTAGTTACTTTTTTCTCATTGCTGAGACAAAATACCTGACACCCAAAGTTAAAGGGGAAAGGGTATTTGGCTTACAGTTTGTAGAGGTTTCAGTCCATAATCATTTGGCTCCAAGGCCGGGTGGCAGAGGGACAACAGTTCATTACAGAGGAAGGCAGCAAAAGCAACGAGAGAGTTTAACTGAATCGTTCTTCCCCTTTTACCTTATTCAGATTACTGGGATTAGGGCAGTGCCAAACCAATCACTCACATGCAGTCGCTTAGACATCATACACCCTTAATCCCAGAATCCCACACTCTAGGTTCAACTACCCCCAAAATAGCCTCACCTCATTCACATGAGGCTTTGGTGGGACATCTAAACACAAGCCATAACACACAGGGACTAGAGAATTCTTGTTGCTTAGACCGTAGACCTCTGTCTAGAAAGCAGAGGAAAACCCACCTGCCCTGCCTGCCTATAGTGAACCTACATGAAGAAAATAATCATAAAGAATGTACACAGACTCAAATTAAAATTTGTTCAGCCTATTTGGGGGCTGTTCCATCTTGATATATCCCAATAGGTCCTTAAATAAGTAGTCTCATGTGTGTCCCATATCTGTCACATGTCTCATACCATCTTGTCAGGATATTTCTGTTTGGATCCTAAGAGGGGAGTGGTTGACGAAACCCGCTCCTTATGTGTGGCACTATTTATTTACTTTCGGGTGAACTCAGATTGCAAGAAGACATTAGAAGAGGTGATAATCATCCCTGTAATGTAATTAATTGCTCCAGGTAACTGATATATTCTATACTTAAGACAGGGTTAATTTTATTCTTTTGTGAGCTGAGGTTGGTGCTTACAAAAAGCTATGAGACATAATTTAGTTCTCCCAACTTGCCTTCTAAATATTAATTCTATTGAAAAATGATTAAATAGATTATGTAAATCATGGTCACTGCATCCACTTTAAAGGTTAATCCTGTCATCATGTAGCCAGACAATTAATTTGATTTTGTTTCCAAGCACTAATTTTCAGAGAAGCCAAGGTGTAATGGGTTGCAGTATCCTATTATGGAGGTGAATGTGTGCTCGGCTATAATAAAACTCAGAAGCAACAAATCTCAAGGCTTTGAGAATGAAGGTAGCTTTGGGGTATTGATTGGCCCAACACACTTTCAGTAGAGTTTTAAGAAATAAGTTTTACTGAGTGCTATGGTTTAGATGAGTATCTCCCAAAGATCCACAGGTAAAGCTTTGGTCTCCAGGATGGAACTACTGGGAGGTGCTGTAGACCTTCAAGAGATGAGGCCTTTTGGGATGTCCTTAGGTCATTGGAGGTTACAACACCAGTGGAAATTTTGGACCCCAGTCTGTACCCTGCTTTCTCTTTTCTACTTCCTGGATTGAGATAGCACTCGCTCTAACAAATTCTTTCACTACGATGCGTCACTTTCACCAGAGACTCAAACTAATGGTGCTGCCCAATCTTGGACTTGAACTTCTATGCTATGCACTAAAAAAACTTGTTCCCTTTATAAAGTTATGTTCCTCAGACATTTCATTGTAGTGGTGCAAAGCCTCCCAATACACTGATGTAGCCTTCTCTGTGTGTCACTTCTGTTGTTGGAAAGCCAAGCATGGTTTGGTTTCAGAAACTCTGGGATAGTCCTGCTGCTTTAATCAGAGAACTTCACTCACTTTGCAAAATTACAGGCCAGGAGAGACCATAGCAGGCATTTTATGGCTTCCACGCCCATTGCCACACCCTATACTTGAGCACACCCTCTAATTAGTCACCTCTGTCCTCCCCTTCAGGAGGAGCCAACCAGCTGTGTACCTCTCTGGACTGATGACAGAACCCTCCTTGCAAGTTGGCTTGGTGAGTCCTCTTTGTTGACTTATCCACCTTAGTCAAAGGTGGTATTTATTCAATTTTTGTAAGCCTTTCTTAAGAAATGGAGTATAAAAATGTAAATTTAAAATTAGGTGCAAAGTGTACATGTATTTAGAATGTGAGAACAAATCTTAAATTTTAGAAAAGTAATGTACATATTATAAACCTATATAGTAATAATATTTTGTTTTTTAACTTCCTGACAAACCTTTATACACTTAAAATTTTTTTTGCCTGCCCACTCTAATCACTTCTTCATATGATAAATTTATGAAATAATTTTCCATAGAAAGATAGGAAGAAAATTTAGACTTCCTTTAGTATAGATCATCTGAACATATTTCTTATTATGGATAATTGGGTTGAATGAAAGATACAACTTCACATACATTATTGTATTTAATACTGATTCAGATCTGGGTCCTACAAACATCAGGATTCTAATAAATACTATTTTATATATTTCCATTACAAAGAAAAATAGATTTAAGGAGAGTTTACAGTTGTATAATTAAATATATTCCTGACAAGAGAAAGCTTTAACTTTGACTAGGACCGAATTTCCTGTGTTAGTTGTTTTCATGTGATGATTAGTCTTCCTAGAATAGCTTGGTTTGAAACACTTCACAGTGTCTCTCTTCTCCACTAACCACATACTGTACTTTCTTTTCCGCCTTCCATTAGAGAACTTGCTCATGTCTTGATGAGACTCTGGGCATAAGATGCTAAGTGATTCAGCACAATCTGTGTTAGATATATTCCTGGAAATCTTTCTGCAATGGGGGTGATTATGCATGGAAATTATTAAAAACTTAAAAAAATATGCTCCATTAAACCAGACTAAATGCATCTCCAACTCAAATTCTGCTCATTCACAGCCCCGAATACCCAGGGACAGTTCAGAGCTGCACATTTACTAACGCGTAGGGAGGAGAGAAGAGAAACTACCTTCCCCCCGTTTTGCTAACCACGTGATCTTGTTAATACATTGTTGTACCCTTCATAAGCCCTTGCAAAAGGGTCTTTGGGAATGAAAGACTCCCCTCCTTTACCTTCACCACACATCTGCATGTGAGGACCAGTGCGTTCTAGTGCTTTCCTGTCTTAATTTTTCCTGCTCTCACTTTATCTTACCAAACTTTTGGCACTGAATCACCTCTGCCTGCTTGAACTCATTTCTTCTTGACTTCTCTCTTGGACTACGTTCCCATCCCATCTAGGAACTTTGCATTTTCTCAGGGTGCAGAGAATCCTTCCAACTTTCATCTCCTCCTGAAGCAGATATCTGTTACTTGCACCCACGGCATTCACTATGAAAATCTACCTTAGGCAGGCTGACAAACAAGATGTGTCATTGGAATGTTCCTCTAGGGCTTTACCTCTTCTAGGCCTGGCTGGAACCCTCTGGTCTGGTCCCAGGAAATTGATACAGCATATGTCATTAGGTTCTCAAATATGTGGGATTAACCAAAGGGCTACTTTACCCCTTCTTCTCCCTTGCTGTTAGTTGTAATCACCAAATTTCCCCTTCTTAACAGCCTTCTTAGCAGGTGTATAAGTCCATTTTCCACTACTCTAATAAGACACTCGAGGTTGTATACTTTATAGTAAAAAGAGGTTTATTTACCTTACAGTTTTGGAAGCTGAAATTTCAAATAGCACAGCACTAGCTTTTGCAAGGGCCTCCTTAACTGCACCACCTTTTGACAGATGGCAGCATACAGCAGTGTGGTAGAAATATATGTGAGAGGGAGAAATTACAGGGCAAGACAGAAAGCCAGAGTGAGAGAAGGGGCCAGTGTCACTCTGTATAACAGTACCTGCAAGAACTTGTTCTACAAGACTGACACTAATTTCCCAATGCTCTCATTACCTTGTTCCATCTCTTTAACATCTACCGCTCCTCAGCATTGCCACCCCGGGGACCTAGTTTCCAACACATGAATCTTTGGGGAACAGCAACAGGCAACAAGAGGAGGGAGACCTTTGAGAGAATATTCGAAACCCTCCTCTTATATTTACCTCTTTACCTGGAGATATCATTTCTTTTCCCCCTGAATTTTCTTTGGTTTTTTTTTTTTTTTTTTTT